GCCGCTCCCTGGGGTTATTGTTAAAACTGCAAAGCGGGTGGTTTACCTGCAGGGGGTCCTTTAATGAGGCTCTGTCCTTGTTGTACTAAGTAAGAAAATAGCCCCTGTAGTTCTGCTCCACCTGCGCTCAGCATCGGCCACCACACTGCTGCACAGCTCTGCCAGATTTCAGGTATTCCATCCAGACAAACGTTGCAGGAAGCATGGATGAGCATAGATTTATAGTCCAGCTCCGATTAACTGGAGCAACAGGGAGGAGTCGGGGGAAACCACAAGGTTAAGAAGACTGCTCTGGAGTCTCAATTAGGCTGACTCCAGTTCATTATCCCTTTGGTACTGACCTGACCTGGCCCTGGCCTTTATCTGGAGCACAATTTGTGATGGGACAGTGGGGGTTTATAGCAACCACGGGTACAGGGAATACCTCTATTTTAACAGAGAAGATACGTGGAAAGATCGTGTCGTAGAAATTTAAAATACAAATAATTAACATCTGAACAACATGTGTTACATGAATACTGGTTAGCAGAGAAGCTGTAACAGTTGTAATAGCTTAATCGATGAATGCTTAAAAAAAAAAGTTAAAAGTAACTAGGGCTGTCAGTCGATTAAAATATTTAATCGCGATTAATCGCATGATTGTCCATAGTTAATCGCGATTAATCGCAAATTAATCGCACATTTTTTATCTGTTCTAAATGTACCTGAGAGGGATATTTTTCAAGTTTTTAATACTCTTATCAACATATGAGTGTATGTGGAGACACTGTGATGGATCGTTGGAGCTATGTGCAGCTCAAGGCATATATGCTCGAACGGGAGCTGCCTGGACGCTGCAATCATGTTGCGCGCACTATCCGTGCTGAGTGTGCTGACTTTTCGTACAATGTCCCACTGTCTGGCTACCTGCATAAAGTCAAGTGCTCGGCGCAGTTGTCGGCGAAATGTCGCTCCTCTGTTTTCATTGAAACAGCTCCTTATATCCGTTAGCGCAGCTAGCTAGCACCAGATGCTAACAACAACAACAACACGTAAGGTGTGCCTCGCTCGCGCCACACATACACACACCCTCCCGGTCCTCCCGATGGCCAGTCCGGGCTTGCCGGTGAGCGTGGAAGTGTGGTCTGCCACAAGCGGGCGGCAAGAGCGGGGCTGTCAGCATCAGCTTGTAGATGGTATTTTAAACTCGATGCGCTCTGAAACTACGGGGCGGCCGAGGACAAAAAATACACATGCGTTAATCGCGTTAAAATAATTATGGCGTTCATTTTTTTTTGCGTTAGCGCGTTATTAACGCGTTAACTTGACAGCCCTAAAAGTAACACATAACAAGGTAAGAAGTGGATAAAAGCTTAGAAACTTGGCTAAAAGATTAACGGTTAAGAGCTAAAATAGTTAGCTAAGAGTTCCGCTATTAATAAACAGCCTTAATAGTTAGCTAACAGAAATGCTAAACTGTTTAAATACTAAGCTAGGAAAAATATAAATAAAAAGTTAACATTGTAAGCTATGAGAAATAGTAAAAAGCTTATTAGAGTTATTTAGCTTAATGGAATAACTGCTTAGATACTTAGCTAAAAGTAATGAATAAAGAGCTAAAATAGCTAGCTAAGAGTAGCGTATTTAATAAACAGCTGAAATAGTTAGCTAAAAAAATAGATAAACTGCTTTAATAGTATGCTAGGAAAACAATGATATTAAAGTGGACCTATCATGCTATATTTAAATGATATATTGTAGGGCCATACCTATATAAGGTATATTTATACATTTCTGTTTTCAAAATACCAAACAGATCATGCATTTTAGCCATGCCTCATTTCGCTCTATGTGCTGTTTGCTGTCTACGGGTCTGATTCTGCTGACCACGCCCCCCTGCAGGAGAGGGGAGACGTGCTCTGATCAGCTGCTGGGCTGTCAGAAGAGGGGGAGAAAAAGAGATCTCTGTCCTCCGTGTTTTATTATATAGAGTCGTTATTCATTTGTTTTAAAGCTCAATAAATAACAAAGAAGACCTTTGACCGGCACTTTTCTAATTTTGTCCGGAAGATTTAAACTTTAACGGACATCTTGACCGGCGAAAGAAACTGAAACTGAAACTCTGCCGCACGGTCCCCTCGTTCCTTGGAAGAGGCGGAGAGGTGGGTGTTTGTCATCTGCTGGTGGACTAACCGGAGAGAATTACAGTGCTTGCCTCGACGGGGAGGGATTGCATTGCAGCGGGAGCAAACGCTTGCCTCGGGGAGGGAGAAAAAAAGCCACAGCGGAGAATAAACAGAAGGGTAACCATGGTAACTATGGGCGGGAAGTCTTCTTCGCTGCTTTTGTGGCAGACTACAGCGCCACTTACAGGCCTGGCATATGTACTACAGCGTCTCCAGCGCTTTCGAACGGCAATGGCCGTGGCTGTCTCCTCCTGATTGGTGGAGTTGGCCCAATAGCCGTAGCGCCACCGTCCTGACGTCAGGACAGTGTTCAAATCTGGATCAGTTTTTATCAGATCCGTTGCAACCCCTTTTTTAGAGATTTGGAAAATAGAGAGGGTTGTGTTTTCTGACACTTGGTGAGTTCCCTGGAACAGCGGGGACACATATTCATGTATAAAAGACGTACAAAAGTGCATTTTGCATGATAGGTCCCCTTTAAGCTGACATAGTAAGATAGGAGAAATAGTAAAAAGCTGAGATATTTAGCTTAAAAATCATGGAATAACTGCTTAGATAATTAGCTCAAAGTAATGAATACAGAGCTAAAATAGTTAGCTAAGAGAAATAATAAACTTCTGAGAGTTAAATGAGAAAAAAACTGATAAACAGCTGAAACTGTAAGGTAAGAGTGAGGATATTTAGCTGAAATAGTTAAAAACTGGTGAAATAGTAAAAAGTGATTAATTTACTTATAATGGATTTAAACACTTGAGATATTTAGCTTAGAGCTAGCGATGCGTGGTTGTAATTGCTAAAAGGTAGGCCTACTAATACATGGTTAAAATAAACTGTGAGGTAGCTTTAAGTGGGTCTGGTGATTATGAGATCAGAGAAATCTATATTGATGTTTTATATTTTGAGAAGAGGCAACCCTCAAGCCGTGTAGAATTAATTAGGTCATACAATATTGATCTATAATAAATCATCAAGTCAAATAGCCATTTAGTGTGTCTGCTCACTTATCAGCAGTGAAATGGATCCTTGTTAAGCACTCCTTCCTACTTTATATTAACTGGCATTGATTATCAGGTAATGGGTTCTGAGTGAAAAAGTAGGTGTCAGTGCAAAAGGTATAGCTACATTGTATTCCAAGAAAACACATTTTAAATATAATATAGTGTCGTTTCACAGCTCCAAAAGTACAGCTACCAAATTAAGCAAGACAGGCTATGAATTAAAGGAAAACCATACATTAGTGGGCAGACAAACATGAACGCAGACCCTTGTTTAGGAAGGCACAGGGGTTAAATTATAATGCTATTATGTACTGTCACATCTGAAAATCTATTTGAAGTTTTTGGTGCTGGAACAACAGTCTGTTTCTTAAAACTGGACAAGCTTACCACTATCTACTGTACACTGACTTTGGATAGTTAGGGATAACTATGAAGTACAACTCCACTTTAAACATCCCTTAAAGCTGATTCAACACTTGTGAACATGAAATGCTTCATAAAAAAATAATCAACTTCAGTGCTGTCGAATGGGATGTCACTGGAGGTAGCTCTAGGTGTACTTAATAAACTTGTGTATTGAGAGTTCCCCTCAGAGAAATATGTCAGCCTGAGTCAGATCTGAACTCCCTCTCATCATATGTTCAATTTAGTTTGATGTGCGACTCATTACTGTAACTTTATGGCCTTTGCCGTGTCATTTAGTAACACAAGTTCCCTGAAGCTTCCATAAAAGGTTAATATGTTGTCTTAGGTTTGCGCAGGTGGTTAGTATTGCAGGTGAATTAGCCCATCTCTACTGCAACATAATTGTCTTTGCAAGAAATCTCTGCACAGGGTTTTCAGAGTTTGTTGTGAGACATTATGCATCTATGTCTGATTTTCTAGCTTCGTCCAAATCCTATTATATAGCAGAGGAACAATGCCACAGCACTTCAGAGGCAACTGAAGCTCAGAGGAACTACTTAAGAGTTGGTGGTTATTTTGTTTGTGCTGATGCTCCAGCTGAACAAATGAAATGCTTGGTTGACTGAGTATGCAAAAGCGGTTTCCAAATGATGCACACACATTCCAAAACCCTGTATTGTATCATTTCTGGTTCAAAGAGAGTTGTTTACATAAATGAACACAGCATCACAGTGTTATGCAGCTCCAGTGCCTTACTGATACAGTATATTTGTTTTGCCTCCTGTAGACCACACACACACACACACACACACACACACACACACACACACACACACACACACACACACACACACACACACACACACGCACACGCACACGCACACACACATCCCAATTCACTGTCGTGTATTCTGTTTGGATAACTGTTTTCACCTTGACTATTAACTATTGCATAGATAGACAATATTTCCGTCTCCTTTCAGGGATTGTCCCAATGTGCCTCATTACTTTTGCATTTTTTTTCTCTTTGCTTTTTTTTCAATTTTATGCAAAAGTCAGGGTTGATAGAGAAATGTATGACATGGCTTTATGATAATACCCAATTGCTTGCAAAAAAGAAGGCATGACATATTCATAAAGCCTGGTGTAGGTGCTGTATTCCATTGTGCCACTCTCTGTGTAGGCAGTGCATCTGTAACACAGGATGGCACATTGTTTCAGAACAGGAAGAAATCCTTATTTTTAGCGTGCGTTCATTTTCTTATTCAGCAAATGTTCTAATAAATGGCTTTCAAGCTGATAAATGTCAGTGCCTGAAAAAGATATCACCTGTGACACCTGTGATTTACAAACCAAGCAGCACTGATGTAGTGCTACTGTCATTCATTTATCAAAAGGCTTACCTCTCCCTCCATACTTCTTCTCTCTGTAGCATCGCCGTTGGTGTGGGTTTCTATGGCAACAGTGAGACCAATGACGGCGTGTACCAGTTGACTTACTCCCTGTACAATGCCAATCACACGCTGGGCGGTGTGGACAGTCTGGTAAGTAAAACATTAGGGTCACATGATGAATGTCTCCTATACATAAACATACCTGCGTGTGTGAAGAAAAACAGCATCCTGATTTGAGTTTGTAAAAACAAACTGGAAACATTCAGTACAGTTTCACAAGACATACAGTTTATACATGAGAGGCCCATTTAGCTGGAAATAAACAGCTCCCTGTGAAGGCTTCAGAAATGCTGGTTGTGATGTATTTACACACACACAGGAGGAAAGCCCAGAGGACTCCATTTAGTATGCATTTAAATGTTTTTATAGTCTTTTTATGGCCTTTTACCGCTACACACAAATTGACTGCCTGACAAAAACACTTTGCTCCACAGACAGCTCACACACACTCTGCTCCACCTTCTCCCAGCTGCTGTGGCCTCAGCAGGAACAAAGCATCGCCCTGTGTCTTTGCTTGTGCTCCCTTTAGGTCCTTTTTCTATTTGTATCTGACTCACTTCCCATCACACACCCAAATGTAGCTCGCTGTTTCAAAATTATACACCAATGACAAGGCATTTTTCTTCTTTCAGTCAACAGTCAAAACTGTTTGATATTTTTCTCCATCTGAATTTTTCCTCACCTATGTTTATCAAACAAAGGTTGTAGCAATTGATATTAAAGTACATTACTTGCCAACACTATTGATGAAAGTATTTGGCAATTTGGCTTCACAATAAACCGTATTTGGTTATCATCTGAACTGTACACTTGAGATTTGAGATGTTATCTTTGAGAGTCAACTTGGACTCTAAACAGTGCTATAAGAGCAGGATATTTAAATGTTGTGTGACTAAAATAGTGAACAGGTACATGATGAACTTGCACATGAGATTAGCTTTGACAAGACTTAAGACTTCGGACTGAATTTTTTTTGAGTTGCACAGATTAATTTAGGGCTTCTTCTTGTTAAGACGTGTTAAGATGAACCTGATTGACTTTTTTTCGTGAAACTTCTACAAATGGCCTTCGGACTTTACCTCACACTTGTAGATATCAACTTGAGACTTCTACCAATTGAGTTGGCACTTGTAAAGATTCACTTGAGACTCTTACTTGAGATTTGTAAAGATAACCATGACACTTGAATACAATTACTTAAGACTTGTAAAGATTAATTTGAAACTTGACTTGAAACGATGATAAACAGACTATGCTTTTTTGATGTAGTGTCTATAAGGACCAGTTTTGTGTTGTCGCCTCAGCAGTGTGTCCCGTGTTGGTCCGGGGTCTGTATCAGCGTGGGCGGAGACCTAACGTGACTAGTTGTCAAAGAGTGGGGATTAGGTCTCCATCTGCGTTAATGGAGATTAATGTGTTGGTATGTGAGCCACTCAACATGGCCTCAGTATGAAACACTTTGCTCAGAGGATATAGAGCCTACAGCACTATGTTAGGACTCTTTAACGGAGGGAAGTACTTAGCTGTCTGGCTCTGATTTATGCACTTTATACATAATTTAAACTGAAAACATGGGAGACTGTAATTACCTATGTTGGGAGAAGATCAGTAGAGTTGCTGTAGATTGTCAGATGGGATTACTTCTCATTAACAAGCTAGCATTTACATGTCTTTGATTTACTCCATTTAATCGATACAACAGCATGTAAAGCGTGTATTACCTTAACACAGAGGGATAGATCCATCTCTTTGTCATGACCAGATTAGATGAATTGTTCACACATTGTCTCCTGTTATTCTTGTAAAGCACTTAGCCAGGTTCATTTCTCAAAGTCATATTAGCAGAAAGAAATCATTTACATATAGCTCGTCTGAAAAGCTTGTCAGTGAGTCCCTCTGGGATGTGTGAACTCGTGCAAGCACACACAATTGGACATGGTGGCCTTTATGTTATGCGTGTGATTGTGCTCGCCTGTGCCTTAGTGTGTGTGTGTGTGGATGAGTGAGTTCATTGCACGCAGCAATAGACTGTTAAGGAGTCTAGTTCTAGGGTAGTATAAAGAGCCCAGTGTGCCACACACAGTTCCCAGTCTCCCCCCACCTAATCAACCATGAGCCCAGGAGACAAAGCCGTTTGATGGGCAAGAACAACGAGCAAGGATGGCCTGTCTCATTGGCAGATTCGGAGATTGAAATCTGAATTGAAATCATTGACAATGAAGGCCTCACTGCCCTTCGGCCAACACAAATGCCCTTAAAGCCCAACTCCGAGAGAGTTTAGAAGTGAGTTTGCTTCTAAAGGCTCAGTTTATAAGAGAGGAAAAGAAGGAAGTTAGGCTCATTATCACTCAATGTTTTTTTCTCAGCAGCTGTTTAGGCCTTGATTGGTTACGGTCTGAAATATATGCATATGATTTGTTTATGAACAGTCACTGGCTCTCTTAGTTAGAATATCAATTCAAACAAAGCACTTGTATACAGAGAGAGGTGCAATTTGGAGACGTAACGCTCAAACTGAGAGGCAAAAAAAACATCAATAGGGCTGTTAAATCTGGAAACGGGCCAATTGGGATGCTGTAATGGGAATGATGTGATATTTGAAGTCCGGCCACTCTAATAATAACTCTATTGTTTGGAGATGGGTGTTGAGAGAGTTTTGGCAGCCCGCAGTCACCAAGCGGAGTGGGTCGGTGTCTGGGTCAGCCACGGATCATTTGGCCAGAGCTCAAGCACGGTTTGGAAGGTGGCCCAGTAAATAATTACAAATGTGCATATTTCTACACGCTCTTATAATACGATTTGTTTCTATATGATGAGGTATTCATAATGTGAAGGAGAAAGATAATCAAAGTTTAATTATTATTGTTTCCATTGGACATGGGACAATGTGAAATATCCCAAAGTTATTGGAATTCATGATATTGTTTTGATAAGAATCAAAATGTGCTTTAAACTCTTAAAGTTAATCCGTTATTTTATTTAAATTAGGCCCTATTTTACCATGATAACAAGCTAGACAGATGTTCAAGTCACTTATGAGAGGATATTGGTGATTATCATGATTCACTACCATCAACTTATTGTTATTTCATTGCAATCCTGATATTTAACCTTATGCTGTGAGCAGGAGATCTGAACACAGGCGGAGTGTTTGTCTGGCTGTAAAACAAAAGCGCTAACAACTGAGCCTCATGTTGTTTCTGTGTGTATGCCTGTTTGCAGTCTGATCCTTGGTTTTGTCCAGAAAAAAAGTGTTTTTCAGACATAAAATACACCTCAAAGAAGTGCAAGTATCTGTGTATATTTTAGAGGAATGAGTAAGAGCAACAGACAGACAGATCAGTGCAGTGCAGACAAAAACACATTTCTTGTCACTGCAAGAGGTTAACTGGAGTCAAGCTGTATTACTTCCAGCATTGTTTTCTATTCAGTGTTTAGCTCAGCGTCACATTTCTCCTCTTGATATCACCACAACAATACTAGCTGATTGTTCGTTACCAGGCTTTTGCCTCCAGGAGCCCTTCTCAACTCCTCTTGTCATCCCCACAACAGTAACTTCAGCTGTTATAAAGAGATCAGGCTGTTAAATCATCAGTAGAGGACCCCATTTGTTCTCAGTTGTTTAAGAAAGTTCTCATTAAAAGCTGCCATCCGTGAGTGCAAGGAGAAACCTCTTTGACATCTGGATGTGTGTTTTAATATGTGTACTGCCTGGCAGGTGGTACCCAGTTGGCTAATTGGGCACTTTTTCTTCACTCTCACGTCAAGTTGAAGGGAAAGTACTGGCGCTGAGGTTATCTCTGAGGCTAAACCACTTCCAACACTGTGTGAACTTTCGCTCCCTCTTGACCACAAGACAGTAGATCCAACGACTCAATGAATGTGTGTCAAACACCAGCACACCAGCAAACCATTGTTACAGCAAACCATTCATAGCGTGACGATCCCACTTCCTTCCTTTTGGTTAACAATCTTTGCTCTGTGGGCCATCGGTTTCTCAAAGGTCTTCATTTGAAGCCCGCTCAATGTTTCATATACAAACCAATTCAGGCCGACCACTTTGAGGCTCTGTGGTCACCACGTATGTGAGGGGAGAAAAGGAGGTAGGAAAGAATATATTTTTAAAGAGTGTGCTGAGCTTTGTTTCAGAGCAGTGAAGATGGTCTCTATCTTTGCAGGGACCGAGCTACCGAGGCACTTCAGAAGCATGTTCCATTTCACGCTCTAGCTCCCACATTCAATTTTAATTGAAAAAAGGTCTCTCCACTATCGAGCAGAGACGACCAGTTAGAGCGAGAAAAAACGGTTTAATCGTTTATCTTATCCTTTGTTCTACTTTAACAAATACCCTTATTGGTCCTCATTTATCAAGCGATTACGGGACGAGTAAGGAATATAGAGAAAGTGATTATGAGATGATCGCTCAGACTTGGCAAGCAATTTTCTGTTTCAACTCAGAGATGGACACTCGGGGAGGTATGTGTCTGAAAGAAAGCGATGTTATCTCTGAAGCACTGCTCTCTCTGAGGCCATGTACCAACAACAATAGGCTTACAGATAGATATCCAATTTTAGTGAAGGAAGTGGGGTTAATATTCTGTAGAGATTATTATTAGGAATGATTGATTGTGGAACTATTGTTCTTGTCCGTGCAAGTAAGTAGATATTTGAAATGGCATATGATGAATGTGTGAAAGGTAGATGCATTTCAGGCATCTATTTTGTAATAAGAAATAAGACGTGATCCTTTGATAATAGAGGCAAGGAGAATGATGTGAGAAATGACCCTCCTCCTTAAGCCCAGGGTCTTCATTCGGAATACACTATGGTCAACCACAACCAACATAATGCTCGTTGATCTATATTTATATTCCTTTCCTCAAGCTAGAATCTACATTTGATATTTGACAGCCACTTTTCAGCCCAATGCCACTCTCCATTCGTCACCGTCTGGTTATTTATCGTGATTTCTTCTTTTTTAAAATTTTTATTTATTTGTACCCTCCGGCGTGTAGAAATGAATATCCCACCGAACAACCGCGATGCAGCCAAACACAATCCGCTGCAAATTGTTTGTTTTGAAAGATGTGAGGAAGAGAATGCCCTCGAAACATCAGATTGAGATAAAGACTGGGACTGGGAATTATATCTTCTTGATCGGTGCGGATCATTTACACGGTGAGGATCAGACCAAGAGGAAGGAGAGATTAGCTGGATTGACTGTCTCCCCAGGCGGTTGAGATAAGATTCTCTCACAAGAGGCAAGAATCAGATACTTGACTTCATTTCTCAACTGCGATTTCTTCTGCTAAGTCTGAGGAGGAAGTGGTCTCAATCAGAGATCAGATAACAAACTACAGAGCACAGATACAATGTCCCATGGAGAGGACTGTTGGTTCACAGGTTGACTCCTCCAAAACCCTTAGGGAACAGCGGGTATAGCTAATGGATTAACAGATTGATAGATGGATGGATTCATGGATATTTGTAGCTGTGCTAGCATGGCGTTATATGGGAATGTCAGTCTGAACCTTGGTTCACCACTTTGTCGCTGACTGAAGACCTTCATTAACAACAGAATGGATTTCCATTTAATTTGGTGCACATTAGGGAATTCACAATTATTGCATTTTGGTCATCATTGAGTACTCCTGACAAAAATGTACTCAAATAGCTGATATTTCTTGGTAGTTTTTTCCCCTACAAAATAACAATGATCAAATCCCGTCAAGAATGTCTCGAATAAATACAGTTAAGTGTTAGCTAATGTATGCAGGACCTACAGTAGGTGAGACACCAGAGTCTATGATAGGCTGTTTACAAATGAGCCTCAATCTGATTCAACTCAACCCAGGCTTGTCGATTTTCCAAGGATAGCTGATTATTTTCTTCTCTACTTACCTTCATTTCTGTTATTTAACAGAGTAAACATAGAACATTCTTCTTCAAACAAATCTGTCTTTCAAAAACAACCAAATATGTCAACCTTTGTTTGCTACAAGTCCATCTCAAAAGATACACTGCTACTTCTTTTTACCTGCATGATGCTAAAAAACCCAGATCGATTAGTCTACACAACGATGCATTAAACCCACTACTGCACATATTCATGGTCTCCAGAGGATGAAGCCTAATGACTTTAATGATCTATTGACTTCCTTAAGCATCACCAGGAGGTTGACTTTTTTTTAAAAGATTCTGAAATATGTTTGCTACAGATGTTCAGTGTTCCAAGATGATACATTAAAATAACTTTGGTAATCCTGTAACATTTAATCTAGAAAACCGTCAAAATTGTCCAATAGTTCATGACTAAATGTTGTGTTTAGTGCTTATTAACATTGTTAGCATGCTATTAGTCAAACGAAGGTGGTCCACCTCGTTACTATTTCCTACAATATAAGCATTCTCACTGTGAGCGTGTTAGCATGCTTATATTAGCGTTTGGCTAGAACCACAACTCTGACTATAAGAGTAGCCCCACACTAGCTGTAGACTCTTTTATTTGCAGCCATCTAGTGCTGGTCGACCGTTGAATGCAGACCGACTAATTACTTCCACCCAACATGCCCTCGCCTCAGCTCCAGCAAATCCTGTGCCTGTCAAACACGGCAACAATATGAGTGTTCTCTTCAGTGAATGCCAAGTACCCTAAGCTGAATGGAAGCATTTATTACCCTTTTTAATGATCAAATAGCAGGATGTCTCTGTGAATGCCATCTCCCAGTAAACAAAGTTTCCCTTCAAGCTAAGTACAGAGAAATTAAACCTGAAGAAATGGAAAGGGCATTTACAGGAGATGTTCACACCGCAAAGATAATGTGGTCTTGGTTTAGTTGGCCGGCTAGGTAAGAATCTGATAAAACTCCCCCTTTGGGAAAAGGATTAAATTATCTGTGATTACCTGGTGTTTACAGATAAACATTATTGAGTTATCAGTTTAGAGAAAGGTCTGAAAGACAACAGCAGTCGTAAAATAAAAATCTCTCTTCTATCTCACCTCCGGGCTCTCTAGTTTTGGCTGTTGTCCAGCTGTTTGCTCAAAGAGGAGCTCTTCACCGACACCCACACTCAGTATTTTAGCTCTCCCACACTGCCCCGCCCACCCACCTATTTTTTACTCTGCAGCACATACCAGCCTTATGTTTGGGTTTATCTCACCTTAGGTCACTTTTTTTTTCCCGGGGAAACTTTGTCAGGTGGAAAAGTTGACATGCTGTTTGAGAGGATTCCTTGCTGTGCTCGGCTCTAAGAAAAGTCGGTCAACACATTATTATTTTAGTAGAAAGGTGGAGGTTATAAAACATTTCTATCCCCTCAAACTGTCAGGTTTTTCTGCGGACCGTTTTCACAAAACAAATTATTTGCTGTTACCAGAAGGAAACTCAATCATCAATTACTTATTGTTGGGAAAATACTGAATGTACTCTTCCAATATCAGAGTAGCACGTGATAACAAAGGTCCTACGTAGCTGTGTACGTAACAGGATGTATGATTACCTAGAAGAGCGTCAGGACTGTTTTAGGCATATGATAGCTATGTGACAACGATTAACATGATGATTCAGCCTCTATGGAGATAGACATATGACTGTCATGTTTATTGCTTACGTTGGCCTTAACTAATCTGAACTAAGCATAGAATACTGCTTTGAACTGGTATGCATGTATCTTGTGACTGAATAACATCCTGTCTTGTATATAAAGCATCTGAAGGACACTGTTCGAGGAACTAGTTGTCCCAAATGCTCTGTGTGTGATGACTACTTCCATTCTTGCAAGGATTAATAAATACATGTATCCTGATTATTGAAGCTTAAGCCGGTGAAGAGTGATATTTTTCGAACACTTATCAATACATTATACCTCAGGAATGGGTCAGTGCATTAGCTTTCATGCTTGGTATTCTAACCCCGGCCACAGTGCTGTTGTACTTATTCACCTCACGCCTCCTCTCCTCTCCTGCCCTCCAGGTGACTGGCACGATGGGCAACATGAAGAGCGGCCTGCACCAGCACCTCGCCAGGCTGGACGAGATCTTCGCCACGCGGGGTGACTACGTGCAGACCCTGCAGTTCATGCAGCAGATGGTGGACAACGTGATCAAACAGCTGCTGGGCCTGCCTGACTGGGAGGAGGCTAAAGTGGACCTTGCATCCATCGCTGATCAAACAGCAAGAGTGGAGTACTACAGGTGAGGAACAGAGAACATGTCAGTGTCCTAAAGTGCAGGGTGGAACAGTGAACAATGAACAATGCCTGGGATGCTACTGAAGTGCACATCTGTAGGAAAAACAGTTAGAGAAATGAGAAAAACATTTGGGATATATCTTTTCTATACATTTTTTCTTTTGGATAAATCGCATCCAAAATTGTGTGAATGTCTCAAATGTTCTCATGGATTTCTAAATGCAGATCTATGGAGTTATGGATGGAGAATGAATGCCACATGATACAAATGTATACGAAAAAAGTTCTTAGTTTAAAGTAGAGAATAACATAAAGTGATTAGTCTGACTTTTTTCTGCCGAAGTCTGATTTTATTAACAGAATTATAAGAATTTCCACGTGACCCAAACCTCTTTCATAGAAATCAGTAGAGAACTGTTATATATAGATATAGTTATTTACATCTTGTCTAAACACGTGGGAAGATGCTAATCAACCAGGAAAGACCTATCACATTTTTATGATCATATATAAATGCTACAAATTACCGTTAAATATGCATATAACGGATTCTCGGAGATGCAAAATACATTTAAGCTTATGATATCATGTCTCGATAATGGCTGCAATCACTGGGAAACTTGAACATGCAGTCAAATAGATAATTCATGTTTTCTCATACCTCTATGACCTGAATATATCACATGATATTTAAAGGATGGGATGAAATATGGTGTTTGCATGCGTGCATCATCCATTTACTGTATATGTGAATTGAGCTGTCCACTGAGCACACGGCTCTGTGAGGTGTTTGAAATATATATCACCTAAAAAATGGCGCAGTGCCAATGTTTCAGTCCTTGTGAAGCCTTGATAGTATTTCTGTGGAGTCTGCGGTAACACACAAGCTGGTGTTTGTATTGATCTGCAAAGTGACTCTTCTTCTCTGCCAATAATTCAATACGCCACATTGCTGTGCACTGATAGAGTAAGCAAACCGACGGCAGACAGCCAGCCACTGTGTAAACTGTTAATGGACTCATTATCACTGCCTCATGCCCAGACAAATAGCTGTGGTTGAGCGTGTGTGTATTTGTGTGTGTGTGTGTGTGTGATTTGACTCTTCACAGTGTTGCTGTGTCAGAGTTGGCTGTCCATCTTCAGTGTGTTCATCCTGGAACATTTTGTCTACTTTAAGAATCTTAAATAATCCCTCAGTTTTCTGAAAATAACTCAATGTTTTCCACCTTGACACCTTGCAACCTCGGGTACTTTAAGGAGAGTGCTGTCATTTACGTTTTTTAAATGTTATAACACCCTTTTCAACACATTTTATATTTACTCTTGGAGTTGATATCCCTAGATTTGACACCAAGGGTTACTGTGAATTTGCTGTCACAGAACTTAAACTGTGGAATTGACAACCTTTCACACAAAGCAGTAATTTATATTTTGTTTATAAGTAAAAGACTCACCTTTTAACTGGATATATGAGTTACTTTTGCTAATTTCCTTAAAGTGGACCTTGCATGCTATATTTGAATAATATAGTGTAGGACCATACCTATATAAGGCATATTTATACTTTTTTTTTTTCAAAATACCAAACAGATCATGCATTTTAGCCATGCCTCATTTTGCTCAATTTGAAATCTTTTAGCTCTGTTTTTGCAAGGGCAGATTCTGTGAGAACAGCACCATCTACTGGCCTGGCATATGTACTACAGCGTCTCCAGCGCTTTCGAACGGCAATGGCCGTGGCTGTCTCCTCCTGATTGGTGGAGTTGGCCCAATAGCCGTAGCACCACTGTACTGACGTCAGGACAGCGTTCAAATCTGGATCAGTTTTTATCAGATCCGTTGCAGCCCCTTTTTTAGAGATTTGGGTATGGAGGAAAATAGAGAGGGTTGTGTTTTCTGACACTTGGTGAGTTCCCTGGAACACCGGGGACACATATTCATGTATAAAAGACGTACAAAAGTGCATTTTGCATGATAGGTCCCCTTTAATTATACTATACTATTATCTGTAATGGTATTAAACAAAAAAAGGAGAATAGGATGTGGTGTTATGGGCTTCTTAATGGGGTCTCTGTGTGAGTGTGTGCATGGGGTCAGCTGGCAAATGCCTCCCCATAAAATCAAGGGATCACAGTGACCTTTGACCTCTCTGTCAGGAACGTTCGATAAAATGCTATTTCCTTTATCATATTTAACCTTTCAACTGAATCTAGCACATTCAGAGCTGCTTCTTGCTTTCCGATACAATTTCTTGCCGACGTACTTCTCTATTATACATGAATGTAACCCCCTGTAGCAGCGTGCCTCTGTGCAGCACTCAGTTTGACTTTAATTGGATTAAGATGACACAGACAAACACGGTGGCAGTGTCACCCAAGAGCCTCCGTGTGCATGTTGATGTCCCAGCTTCTCGTGCTGTACAGTGCCAAGAGGGGAAAAGATGAAACGAGGAAGAAAAATCAAGGAGTCGGTGGCGAGGGGGAAAGAAGGGCGAGGGAGGGAAGAGGGGCTGAAAGGGAGAGAGACGACGGGGAGGGGGGTTCAAGAGAGTGGAAGGAAAGAGAAGGGGGAAAAAGAAAGATATGAGGATGCAGCATAGGGATGGAGAACACAAATGGGAGGGAAATCAAATCAATAATTTAAGAGAAAAGAGGAATGTACAAAGTGAGAATGTAAGTGCAGGAGTTATGATTAAAAAAAGATACACAATGATGGAGATAATGTGAGAAGAAATCAAAGCAACTTGAATTGGATGTATTGATACATCCGAGTTCAAAGGTGATGTAGCGGCCCCTCCCCCCATTTGTTTCACAGCATGAAACATTCAATCATATGGAATTGAGTCCATTCATTATTAACCACCTGGACAGGCTTTCTGTGCGTCCGGTCTCAGACTGACCACTGCTCACGTAACAGATGGGTTCACTGAGGAGGGCAATACTGGACAGGAGTATACCCTCAAGCATCAACACACACCTCAGATGACAGCATGTGCCTGTTGAGGTGAAAATAAGTGTTACACTATAACATTTTGGGTTTTAACTCCCTCGAGAGTTTTTCTGATGGGTCTTTTTTGTATTTACTTTAGTAATACATTCTCATTTGTTATTATTTGGTATTTTTTGTTTTCCTCCTTTGGTTAAGATCGGTCAAGATTTTTGCTACGGCATGGGAAATATGCAGTTAAAAATGGTAATGCTGAAAGCTCTTTAAAATTCGAAGTAAATTGTTGGTCCCTGAATTTCAGACAAACTTGGATAAAAGAATGTTTTATCACTAAATATCACTAGTAGCTAGTTAGCAAGTTAACTATCTAATTAAGCTAACAAAAGATCAAATAAGCTCCATGAGTTGGAGTAATAAAAGGAAAGCCATGTCAAAGAGGGTCTTACATATCCACAATATAAAGGCACTAACATACATTGATATTGTGCAAAAGTTACATGTCTAAGACAAAAAGTCAGAATCCTTAGTGGTTCATAATGTTATGCTTATATTTCTCTAGGCTAAAGAAAGCAGCTTTTTTCTTGTATTGCCTCTTAGCTTTTCAACCTTAGTACCATAGCACAGTATTATTAATGAAAAATAAAAATGTTACGGTTATTTCATTTTAATATAACCCTGTGTAAATTCTTAAGTTTTGATGAAGTCGTCTTGGGAAGCCTGTTTTGGATGATCTTACTGGAGTATAAACTCACACAAACAAGATAAAGAACCATGTCAAAGTTGCTACGTTAGGTTACTTTTTACTGTACTTTATGTAGTGGGCTAGTTAGCATGGCATGCTAATGTTTACAACTTCAAGAGCAGGAAAAAACACTCTATAATCCATACATGAGACTATTGTTATTCTATTTTAACTTAATATAGTCGATGTACAGTATAAGACAACCACCTTCAACATGCTAAGAAATCCATAACTTTACATACTGTATGTGCTGTGCATAGTTACAGTTGCCTAGTTGCAATTGTAAAATACGTTTTACAAACAGTCAATTAAGGTAGAATTATAACATCATTGCAATAACTACATCAATAACGCCTGGCTTGAATGTAACCAGCATTTCCTTTTATCAAAGCTCAACCCACTTTGCCAAAAAAGAAATTTCCCAGCAGCACTGTGATTGTCTCTCTGTCTGTCCCTGCAGGTGGCTCACCTACCTGCTGATCCTCATCCTGGACCTGATCATCTGCCTGCTGGCCTGTCTGGGCCTGGCCAAGCAGTCTCGCTGGCTGCTTACCACGTGAGTCTCATACACTCTGTAAAACACATAGATTTAAACAAAAGCAAGAGCTGTATTTTCGTTTACAATCCAAAGAGGGATTTGGTTTTGTATTTAATGTGATCTTCTGATAGTGAGAAAAAAAATCAGGGGAAGGATGTATGATGAGAGGAGTGGATAGGTAGGTTAGCTGACTAAGTCAATCCCAACTAACTGGAAACATTTACTTAGTTTTGGTCACTATGACTCACACATCAGCTGCTACAGCATGTTGCATCGGGAACTGAACCTACACAATAGTCACTTTTCCAAATCAGCAATAGGTTATGTATTGTAATCTAAGCCAAAACTGGACCAATACTATGTTTTCTTCCAGTTACTCCTTTTTGGATTCCCTTTACTTCATATATTTCTAAAAGACCAACTGCATCTAAGAAGTTGAACGCTTTAGATTGGAGGTCTTGCATCTATTGTGGCAGGTAAACACCCACATCTTATTCACAGCTAGATAATTGTATCAAAATAACCCATGCAGTGCCTTAATTAAATGTGTCATGTATTCCAAACAGGAACAACAGATGTGATATTTTGAGTTAGAATAAGATTGATTATGAGTTGGTGTAGAAATAAAGAGAGAGGGAGCTGGAGGCAGGAGTTCTTCTCATGGGAAATTGCAAAATCCAGTATTGGATCATGTCCTTGTACAAACACTGCCCTGCGAAACTTGTTGTAATTAACTTGCCTTACAACGTTGCCAGGTTGCATTTGCTCTTACTCTTGCTGTGTCAAAAGTTCTCTTTACAAATTGTATTTTAGAGTTGTGGAGAGATAGGAGTGAAGCCATTGGATGTTATCAACCATACAACTTCCTAAAGATTGTTATTCCAGTTTAACACTCGACCTGCTTTAAATGGCTTCAGACATAAATCACATTTGATACCAGAAAGATATCTCTTGACCCTGGTATAGTACTTAATTAATTATTAAGCTTAGTATTTTTAGGCTTTTTTCAGATTAATATTTGATTGATTTTGCTTTTATGAGTGATGGAAAGCATAATGAATTAAAACAGCACATGCAGGGTATAAAAAAAAGATAAGATTTTCTGTACTATAAATATGCCCTATAGATAGGAAACAATAATATAATTACTGTTTTTCTGTGGGTTGGGGAGGCAGGAAGTGGACAGGATATTGGTATAAATTATGGCATAAAAAGAACTCCCACGCATCAAAATACATGTTACAAGGAAAGATGACATAACAAGCGGTGATAAATGGCACACAAATAATTTACTGTATGTACACTATATTTATACATGCCGTGCCCCCGCTTTCATTTAATCTCCTTACAGCATCAAAGTGTATCCATCTAGACTGGAATGTGATTTTTTTTTTCTGCTCTAAAGGAGCTTTTCACATGGCATGAAATCAACCCGGTCTCCATTCATCAAGCCGAGTGTTGCTCTGTCTCTCTCAATCAGTCAGTTCAGGGTGTGATCTCCACTAAATTTGCCCTACTAACCACAAACCCACCCCCGCCACACTTTCCCACCCCCTTTGCACACATGAGATGAGTCAGTGTCAAGAGTGTCTGCCCTCCCAATGCATGCATTCTTCCAGTGGAGTGGAAGTGGTTGGAGGCTTTCCGGAGAAGATTACATTCTGGGGGCCTGTCGGCTCTTCCTGGTGCTATTAACTGGCTGGCTGGGTGGTAGCATGACACACAGTAGGAGCTTAGACAAGAAGACGCATTTATAGACCTTTCTGTCAGCTGTTTCTATTTGGAATACAGTTTGTCATTTCCCTTTTGTTTGTTTTTGTGGATTTGTCTTTCAATTAGAGCACTGCAAACACATGTCCATCTGCCTCCATTGCATTGGGATTGTGGCAGAAATCTGAGAAACTGACATTGCAAAACCCTAGTTCATAACGCAGCTTCCATCAGGTGAACTGAACCTTAAAATGTTGTGATATAAACACAACCTATTCCCCAGCCTAATTTTATGGATTGAACAATTCCGTGCCCCTCATGCATAAGAAAATAAACGAGAGCAATAACTAATCTCCCTGGAGGACAGAAATCATTTGAGCTGTCGTGAGCAATGACTTACACCAAGAAGAATTGGCATTTAAACAAAAATGCACATGAGTGGGATGTGCTGAAATTATAATGAAAAACAGTCACAGCATTGGTAAGAATGGAGAAGACAAATGTATATCGGCTGCCTGAAGGACGTGGTAATTGTTTTAGCAATAAACAGTTTGATATGGCAGCTGAGTTCAGCAATTGGTATCACACCTGTGCAGTTAAAATATATTTTTCCTCGATGAAACAGTTTAGTTTATCCAAGAAGGGGATTTTTGTTTGAAACCAGATGAATAAACAAATGAAGGTCAAGAGGAATATTACTCTAGAAAAGCTTAACACCAAGGCAACCTTTTCTTACGTTTATATACTACTAATTTGCAACATAATTGATGGTGTACCACAGGGAAGTGTACTCAGACCTTTGGTGTTCTGCATCTTCATGTTACCAGCATACTGTATAGGAGACATACATTTCTCACTGACATTGCACTCTCATTTCACTCAGTTTTAATACAGATATAATGATTGTTTGTATAGCGATGTATGGAAGAAAATCTACTTGCCACTCTGATTTAATTGAGAGTGACTTGACCTCAACCTATTTGCTGGCATCATTCGCCCTGTTCCTTGGCCTCTGTGAATTTTCCACTTGATTTGCTTTGCGTCAGGTTTGCACCCGATTTCCTTCGAATCAGTGTAGCTCATTGAATCCCCTTTGCCAACCAGAGCAAACATCGTAATAGTTGCTCGGTTTCTGCTGTTGTTGAGGAAGAGATCAGAGCGCATTCCTCCCTTTTGCTTGCTCATCCAATGTCATCGTTTTTTTAAAGAAATTCACAGAGTCCAGTACCACACCCTGCGACAGCATTACTGTCAAATAGGCATTGCCTTTTTAAAAGCCTTTTATGGTAAAGATATTATGTAATTTACAGGAATAAAAGCAGGAATTAGAGAAAAGCCATACATAATGACAGATTGATTGGGTCAGCAACAAATTCCATAGAAATGTATGTGTGTGCATGTGTGTGTAGGTGTTCACAGATGGATGAGCACATTTAGTAAAGGAATGAGGGACAGAAACATTTGTAGGGAACTCAATAATATACTTTCCATGTAACTACAGTATATGCAGATCCATACACACATTGGTGCGGTAATAAACATTCAACCACTAAGACCTTTGCATCTGTTCTGCTTCTTGATTTTAAATCAAGTTAAAGAGGCCTTGCTCTCTTCCCTTCAATGTCCTTGTTAAGTGTCAGGGCACGGGGGGCTCTGTTTCTCAGAGAAGGAGGTTGACGGACTAGAAGAGTGAAAAACTGATAAACTGCCAGGCAGAAGGCAGAGAAAGATAGGGGAGACAGGGGTGAGCGAAAGTGAAGAAATTGAATAATGAAAAAAGAATGAGTACACAAGTTGTGGCTTGTAAGTGTCAATGATGGGAGTTCAGTATCTTCTCAGCACATTGGGAATTCGATTCTTCAGGGAGAGTGTTGAAATGAACAAGGCCTAGTAATACTGTAGCAGGTGACATGCTGTAAAGGGAGTATCTCGAAGTGCCACAGTGTTGAAATCAGCAGGACTTTATTGCATTTTCTAGAGATGATTTCACCCAATTAGCTGATCTATGATAGGACAACTGTTCATCTTTTAATGGCTATTGATCTTCTGCTGTACACACACAGACAGACCCATCAATGCCCCCCTGCATGGGGAGATTCTCCTCCTAAAACCCCCCATTCATGTCCCTTATGTCATTTTTTGATAGTATGAGATCATCAGGGAGGGCATCAAAACACAATCTGATGTCCTCATTGGTACAGGCAACGTTCACCCACCCAGGGGGCCGTAATCTAGTGTGGGCCAGCAGAGCGGATATGCACGTTCTTCGGTACATAAAGCCTCATCTATGCAGAAGTATGTTCAGGCTACAGTATCAACCCCCACAGAATATAAACATGACCTCTGACTTCTTCTGTTGATGACAGGACAATGAAATCACCGCTCCTGCCCCTGAGGGCTCACGCTGTTTCCTTTCAATAACAGTAACTGTTATGAAAATAGCTCCATCTGCGTCACTGTACTCCCGCTGTAGGATGCTGATAATTATATTTTGAACTCTGCAAAATTCGACTTTCTTGCTTAAGTTTTGAGTTTTTCCATCTGTATTTATTATATTACATCATGTTATTTCTTCTCATGTTTTATGAACATATGAATAGGATGATAGCTGGTTGTGGTGACAAACCCACAAAGAATTTTCAATCAAGTCTTCATTTCCTCAGCTTTATAGCTTTCTACTCTTTTTTTTCCTGGCTTGCTATTTACTGTTTTGGTTCTCATCAGCCTCTCTTAGGTCTTATCAGGGTGAAAAAAAGACTCAACTCTTCTCTAAATGGCCAACAATTACCAGGCAGAAGTTAAAACCTCTCAGGTCAACATTGTGCAGTGCATTTAAAATCACAAGTAACACAAACCAACTGCAAATCAATGTTAATGTTGCTCTTTGTCTGTGAATAAGCATATTTTTGCTAACAAGTTTAGTCATGATATGTCAGTATTCTTTTTACAAATTGTTTCTAGGGCCACCAGGTGGCCAAAAACAATATTGCAGGTTTAAATGAAAAACCCTTAGTACTCTCCTAATTTTCTAATGATGTATTTTTTAGAAAGAAAGGGTGCTCCACCTGTAATCAATAGAACAATCTCACATCAAAGTGGGACAATTAGTGTAAATCATTAACCATTGTGTTTCAATGGTACAATACTTCATTTAGATAAATAGCAAGCTTTACTGAGCTATCATGTCCATGTTCTGAGCTGCACTGTGACCTTGTTGTTGCTTGGTGTCCCTGCAGGATGATGGTGTTTGGAGTGCTGACGCTTGTCCTGAGCTGGACCTCTCTGGGAGCTGACCTGGCCACTGCTGTGGTGAGCCGCTTCACGCTGCTTCGCTTCCTCACCCCTGGCTGACTTGCTTACCCTAATATAAAATAGTGTAAACTGGTCTGCAATCAATTCTCGTCCTGCCTGGCAGTGGTGATGAATTGCTTTAACGCACACTGCACTTGACAAATGTCTTTGAATGTGTGGGGGTAAGGGAAGAGAGATGATGCTGCTCATGTGCTTATGTTCATATACCTGCATGTGTATGGATGCGTTTAAAATATCTGCAGTGTGTCATTAAAAGTGATGATAAAACAACTCTCAGATCACATCACAGCAAAGGCTTTCTCACACATCCAAAATAGTGCATGTTTTAGCTCCACAGCTGCTGAACAAGGATCCTAGCTTTCTCAGTAAAATGTGTGTGTGCTAGAAAAAGCCTTTACAGCCTTGCAGTGTCATCCAAAAACGTATTAGTGCTTTCTCACTGCCCAATCTAAAAATTCCTCTGATCTTGGTTTGTCTTTCTGTCCCCTCTGACGCTTTTCATCTCTGCTGAGAAATGGCACACCGCTGAAAATAGACCAACAAAAAGAGTAAAATGCCAAACAGTGAATTCAAGTCACCTGAGTAAAACTCAAAGATTACGACAACACAAATCATTTTGCTGCTTTTAACCATGCTGATTAGGTGAATAATCTCACTGTTCTTTTCTTTTAATGACCTAAAAAAACCGCACAACTGTTTAAGTGACCTAGCGGGTTACCGATAAGATCGATATGCGAAAATAGAGCGATGCATTTGAAAGAATATCAGATTTATGAGCACTGGTGTTTGTCTCACCTGCCTCAGGCCTTTGTGCTATTTTTCTCAGGTTTTTTGTCGGGTGTTGTGTTTTGACTCGAGGCTGTAGAGGATTGTTAACAAGAGATAATTTAAGTAGGAGATAATGAGCATGGAGTAGAAAGCAGCAGGAGGTGTGAGCAGATCATATGCAGTCTATGGAGTGACTATTCTCTGGTTTCCTCCTTCTCTTTCATCTAGAAGTTTAGTGTCTGCTTTACAAGTCTACACTATCTGTGGTCTACATTTGCATGGTAGACGGTTGAAACCCGGGTGGATACCTGGTGATATCAAAGCTAGGAAAACACAGTTACCATCCCAAACCCCGCAAGAATGTAATGTTGAATATTCTGCACAATAATTAGCTACATCAAAATCAAAAGGGGTTCCTTATCTGGGGAGCAAATGTAAAAGAAATCCAGCCATTACCTACCTACAAATGTTGAGTGTCTGGGCTTTGAGGCCCTTGAAAGGAGCAAGAAAACATCCAATAAATGTCATGGTATTCCGTTCGTTATATTTCAAACTGTTTGTTAACAAGTAATCGTTGCCTGTAGGAAGCAGTGGAGGAAATGTTAGAAATCCTCAGAGGACCATGAATATCTGCAGCCACCTTTCCCAGACTCAAGTGTTTGTCAAAGAGAAATGATGTCATAGCTTGACAAAAAATGGTAAGGGGGTCGGTCCAAAATCTTTGGAAATGTTCATCTGGCTTCCATAAATACCCAAACCAAATTTCATATCAGAACAAAGTTTGTTGTATTGTAGCCACTTGATAATTGACAGAAATCGATCTGTGGGTTACAAAATCCTGCCATTTATCGTGGCCTGTTATGTAAGCTGTCTGTTCCGCTGTGTTTGTCTGCTGCTGACCCCGACTGCACTGGATGGTTAACGTCCACTGGGCTGTTCTCTGCCTGAGAGCAAACATGGAGGTTGAAAGGGCTTCATAATTGCTGAGGCAGGGATACAAACAGCAGTGAACAAAGCAATTACATGAACAGTCTGCACGGCTCCTTCACTTTTCAGACATCATGCCTTTGTCACAATTGTGTGTTCGTGTTGTTTGTCTTCTTAACTGGGTGTTCATTTGAGGTGTGTGTGTGTGTGTGTGTGTGTGTGTGTGTGTGTGTGTGTGTGTGTGTGTGTGTGTGTGTGTGTGTGTGTGTGTGTGTGTGTGTGTGTGTGTGTGTGTGTGTGTGTGTGTGTGTGTGTGTGTGTGTGTGTGTGTGTGTGTGTGTGTGTGTGTGTGTGTGTGTGTGTGTGTGTGTCACATGCATTGCTCTGAATACGAATTACTCAGTTCTAGTTATATATACCGTATATAACACTGTGTAGGGCTGTCATTCCATTCATCATTTACTGTCTGAAATGTTGGAAAAAGGCCATGGTAATGTTTTCATAATAGCTTATTTCGGTCCGACTTGAAGTAAAGAAAAATCTAGATCTTCCATAAAGATATAAGACAAAGAAAAGCAGCACATTCTCACATTTGATAAGCTGGAACCTGTGATTGATTGCTTTATAGATTACTTAAATACCGTATCCATGTTCAAATATTCAGAAATGACAGTTCATTTTCTGCCACTGGAATGATTAATGATGAGAATAGACTGATTCAGCCTTAGAACTGTGTGCGAAAACATAGATCATGGAAGGTTTTGCTTTTATTTTACTGCATTTCCTATTCTTTCAGTAATGGTTTGACTCCAACTCTTGACACCAGTCCTTGATCTGTGGGAGCTTTCAGCGGCTGCAGTCTGTAGCAAACCCTGGACAGGTCATCAGTCTACTGCGGGATCAAATAAATGACGTGCACACCTGCGTGCCACTCTCCACGTGAACTGGCTTTAATGGTTTTGCACTGTACTTCCCAGCAGCATGCCAGCAGCAGTGGCCACTCGAAAAGCATTACACATATTAAACACACTATTGCCATCTGAAAAATGTCTGAAAATCAACCTCCTTAAACCTTACTCAGGTTTTAACTTTTAAAAATGTACTTGCTACTGCTGCCTGTCAGCTGTGCCCCACTTAAAATCAGAACTATGAAATGGGTTTTGTTGCTGCGCTCTAATGATGTCAGACACCCAGCACATCGGGAGCAGCCCAGCATCCCAGTGTGGGGTATTAGTGTTCACACTGTGCGTTTGTCTTCCTGAGCATCTTCCGGTGATGCAACTATTCCTGTTCAGATATGTGCATGTTAGAAAGCACTTAAAAACTGGATAGACAAAAAATGATCTATAGCTATTTTGGGTTATCGACTAAGTAATGTTTTAAACAAAATATGTCTGCATTTTCTCAGTTTTATATCACGTTTAAGTGAATATCTTTTGTGTTTTTTGGACTGACTGACAAAAGAAGACATACAAGCAATCTCTTTGAACTAGATTAGTCTAGAAAACAATCAGAATAATAGAGAATAACCGTTAGTTGCAGTGCTATTATCAGATTATCTTATCCCTAACTGACTCCCAGTGTGTGTGTGTGTGTGTGTGTGTGTGTGTGTGTGTGTGTGTGTGTGTGTGTGTGTGTGTGTGTGTGTGTGTGTGTGTGTGTGTGTGTGTGTGTGTGTGTGTGTGTGTGTGTGTGTGTGTGTGTGTGTGTGTGTGTGTGTGTGTGTGTGTAGTTCTCTAGTACACAATCAATGAATGCACCCCTCCGCAGAACTCTTAATTACAGACAGAAGTCAGAACTCTGCATTCTCAGAGAATCACTGCTTCCCCTTCAGGAATTCTAACTAATTTACTCCTGAATTGCAGAGCTCCTTCGTCTCCCTTGTGTCTTAACAATCCAGCTCGGGTTTGCTGGAGATCTACACTGTATCTCATCTGTGTATGGGGCTCATTAGCGTCCCCCCCCCCTCAGAGAAAGTTAAGCTACAGGCAGTGTGTTTGACCTGAGCCCGGGGGACATTTAACATTCAGACAGTGCACACTGCACAGACCACCGCGCCTCGGTTTTGTTATTTTGCAAAAGCAGGTTTCTTTTTACCACTGTGCTGTGGAGTGAAATGGGTTGAGAGTGACAGAACTGAGAAAATATTCATGTCTAGATATGTAAAAGTGGATTAAAAGAGCAGTTTCCTTTTGACTCAAAAGTATGTGAAAAAGATGTATGACTTTTCAAAGTGTTAATAAACTGCCAGGTACAGTATTTGACCTTCTCTTCCTGAATGGTTCTTTATGAATTTATTTAAAAAATGATTCCTTTTCATTTGTTTTCTGCACTTAACTGTGTCCTGTTTTTATTCCAGGGCACAAGTGATTTCTGCGTGTCCCCTGACAAGTTCCTCCTGAGCCAGACGAAGGGAGTCATCGGCACTGGTGAGCTTCATTGTGAATCATATGAATCGTTTTGTGTTAATGGAGTTGTAATTATGAGAGCATAAAGCTGTGGCCATGACACCAATGTAGAAGTAGGACATTAGAGTTGAATGTGCATTTCCTCTGCTTGATTTGTCTGTTTGTGTTTTTCACAGATATTGTTCATTATTACCTTTACTGCAACCAGACCCTCTCCAACCCCTTCCAGCAGGTAGGAAACAGGATGCTTTGCTTTGACTTGTATGTACTTGTATATGACTTATTGGGCATTGTTTGTGATTTACAGGTCATAACACATCTACATGTTGAAGTTAAAACACCTAATTAAGTTGTCATGTCATTGAATTTTATACTGGGATTTTGCATTATTTATTATTCTACCATTACAAACTGACACACAGTATGTATTTTTACAACTCTTAATGTACTAAAATATGTTTTCTCTAGGAAAAAAAGGTTTGGTATCTATATCTGAGCCTATACCAGATTTATATGGGATATATGGACCTGTTTTCATACTTTCTTAAATAAATCAAACTTGGCAATAGATCAGTTTTAACTATATGTTTCCTAATTAGTCACAAAGTTAAAAATATTTCCAGATTAAAGTGATTTAAAATGTATAAAGACACATTTATATTTATATTTTACTACTTAAAAAGTGATGCTATACATTTTGGTCAGTACTCCACGTAATACTATTAATACTAATGTGTTAGGTTTCCAATACCCAGCAGAAAATCTTTTAAAACCTTCACTTTGGAATAATAATATAACATTTGTGTAAAAGAATATAAATCAACAGTTCAAACTAATCATTTAATAGTTATTTGCAAAATCCTCACTACAGCCCTGTGTCTATGTTACACAAAACCATTATTACCATTAGGATTTAAATGATCGTATTTCAATTTGGAGCAGGTCCTGACTAATAAAACACAGTCATTTAAATATTTAATTGTCTTGTGTTAGCTAGGTGTTTTAAAACTTTTCACCTGAATGTCAAACACCTTTTGTAATTCACTAAATCAGAGCTGGATGGGGATTTTCTTTCTCCTCTCATGTTCCATCTTTGTCAAACTCTCCCTCTCTATCCAGCGCTGCCTGTCTGATTTACATCCTTACTTCACCTCACAGGTCTGGCTGAACGTTAGAAAATTGCAAATCACCCAACCCTATCTCCCAGGCTGTCACACCATCATTTTTCAATTTCTTCTCTGTGAGCAAACAAGCAACAACATGCCAACATTTAACAAAGCCCCCAAAACAAAGGCTATACAGTGCGGTGACTCTTCCCAGACACAGAGTAGATATTGTGGGTCACATCACTGGCTTCCACCGCTGACATCAGTTAGTGGTTAAGTACATTTTCTGTGAGCTCTGGTCCAGCGGAGCTCAAATCTTATTATCTGGCTCTTGTAGACATGCCCCGAGGAAAACAAGAGCGCAGCAGCAGCGGAGGGCAGACAGCCGTCACCCCGCCTGGTAAACAAAGTCAGCGCTCATTCCCTCCGTCACACAGATACCCAACAAGTGCAAAGTTCGAGCTGCCAGGATTTCACACTGATTGGGAAATACGCAAACTTTCTCTCTTGTTTTCTCAGCCTGAGTCACAGCAGTGCTTCCTGCCCTGCTCTGTGCCCTCGCTCTGGGGCTTTACTCCTGCGTCAACTATCTTTTATATTTATTTTTGTATTATTATTTTTATTTTATTTGTTTATTCCACACATGGCAGATATTTTATTAGCGCATGGTGGAAAGGAGCAGGGAGAAGAAACTCTTATTTGAACTGCCCCTTCATACAAAAAATACAAAAAATGAAATAAGTCACACAGTAGATGGTCTGTCCTTCATATTTTCTTATTCACAGCCAATCATTGCAGTATCGTAGGAAAATAAGAGAAACACAAAAACGTACAAAAAATACTTAGTTCCCACTTGACGGTTAAGGGAAGGAAACAAAACAAAACAACAACACTAAAACATCACATGAACAAGGAAAAGTGCAACCCCCTCATCTGAGTCCTACTGGAGTAGAAGGGAAAGCGGCTTATTTCCACAGCTCTTTTTATATTCCTATCAACGTCATCTCTCTCCTTTCCTTACTGTCCTCCTCCATCCACTTTCTACGGTAGAAAACTCACCAAAGCTTGAAAAAAGAATCTGATCAGGCGGTTAGATAGACTCAAGAGAGAGCACAATGGACAGTCATGCAGATCTGCAGACAAAATGTCAGATCAGAGGAAAGCAATTACATTTGTGGATGGTTGAGGTAATTGACCACATCCTGTTCAATTTAACATTGAGCCGCAGGCCATTAAAGGTTCCCAAGCTACTCTTATAAGGTTGGGTGACTGTGAAGATCCAAGTTTGCTTTGGAGATGTGACAGAATGATTCATTTATGGTAACGCTTGCATGTTAGTTTAACAAAAGGTGCTGTCTCTCAGGCAGGTTGTGGTTATCTGCTCACTCTACATCGCACTGAATGTAGGGGCTTATTTTGCCCCCTGTTGGTGGGAACTTAAACCTACATCACCATAAGTAAAGAAACCAAATACAGAATGTTGTGAATTAGAATTGGGATATTTTTTAATATGAGTTTAGAGCCCTAAAAAGCTGCCATTTATCTAATGTTTTTTGTCTGTGTGTTGTTTTTGTGCTTATGTTTTTAGTTCACATCCTGTTGTTCATTTATGTCAAGTGAAAGGGTTAGGGGTTTCCTTTTGGGCTCACTTATGTACTTTACTGTATGCATTGTTGTTTTGGGATAAAACAACATATTATATTGCATACAAATTTAATCCATTATATTTGCTAATGGCTTTCCTCTAAGGCTGCACAATTAATCAAAATGTTATACACTGAACGTTGACTTTAATTGAATGTATTATGTCAAAAAATGTCACATAACTGTATTAGGTTAGTTAAAGGCAATAATATTAAGTTGAAATATTAGGTACAACTTGATATTTGTTGACATAATACATTTAATTAAAGTGATTTTCATTGTACAATTCACAATATGGACTTATGCACTATCTAAAATATGTGAAAATATTATTCTAAATAAAGTATTGTGTTTAGGTCTCGGCGTACAAACGGTATTCCTCTGATTCCCTCTAATATTTTGAATCTTATCACAGTTGCAATATCAATCAAAAATAATTACAACTAAATATGTTTCCCCAAATTGTGCAGCCCTTCTTTATTCCTTATGTTATCACTTTGTGGAAGAAGTGTGCGCGTTCTTTAAGAACCTTTACAAACTAAGCGTTATGGTGTGTCTATTAAGATTAAGTCTTCACATTGCCATGCTCTTCACTCTTCTTGTGTGCAGCCTCTGACCATCTTCCAGAGGTCCCTGACCACCATGCAGATCCAGATCCAGGGTCTTCTGCAGTTTGCTGTGCCTCTGTTCCCTACAGCTGAGGTATCACCCACTCAATTACGCATATGCTGCATTACAACAGAGTCAAATTATTTTCGGAGTATCATTAGCAGGAGTTTTTCACAAGTATTTCTGATCTCTCCACAGAGAGACCTGCTGGGTATTCAGCATGTGCTCAACTCCTCGGAGGCCAGTCTGCACCAGCTGACCGCCCTGCTGGACTGCAGGGGGCTTAACAAGGTTTGTTCACTGCATCCTAATTGGCAACACAACAGCACAACTAGGTCAACAGTGAAGTAAAGTGGCCACGCAGGATTGCAAAATCAAACCGAATGTGGAACTAGGAACACAGCGGAGAATTTCAAAATGTAATGAGAATTGCTTTTTCTAAAATATGTGAGTTTCCTGCACTGTTACACTTGTACATTGTGGCTCATAACTGCACTGCGGTTTAAATAAGAATGTTGAACATCCCACTGAATTTGCATGACACCAATAAAGCAGACTAGACGACACACTCCCAGCGCTCTAAGTGCTTTTCCATCCTCGCTTCATTTTGTCTACTGTAAGATTCAAAGCCTGTGCCTCTACCTTTTTGTCTGTTTATTATTTGTTTGACCTCTTTAGGACTACCTGGATGCGATGGTGGGGGTGTGCTACGACGGGGTGGAGGGTGTACTCTACCTCTGCCTCTTCTCCTCCCTGGCATCCTGTGCCTTCACCGTCATGCTGTGTGCCATTCCCAGGGCATGGAGACAAATTGCCTGCAGGTCAGTTCGTGCTCTGCTTCTCTGCCTCAGTGCCCTCATTTCTTCATCCTGCAGCCATCTTTATGCAGCTTCACATACTGTATGAGCCAGCCTGAATATAAGTGTGTGTGTGAGTGTATATATCATTGTTTTTGTATTTGTACAATTGTTAAAAATACAAACTGAGGTCTGAAAGCAAGGTGTTGGGTACCAGGCAATGGTGCACAACAACTTAATAATGTCAAGAAATGATTGATAATCCAACTTCAAAAAGCTAATATTAATGGATTTTGTCCCTACTGTTATTACTTTTTCAGCAAATTTCGACAACATTTACATTTTTTAGCTACAGGTCCCATAACGCTGTTGTTGGTTGTAAACAAAGTAATATCATTGCCATGGATTTAGTGAGTTGTAAAGGACTGCATACAGGGCTGGAGCTGGGACCCCTTTCATTCTAAAAGTCATACAAGTTTCTCAGGGACATGACAATACAAAAAATATGAAATATGAGAAATGGTTAAGGTTATAAAGGCACAGCTTATTTGTCAGAAATGGGCAAGCGTCCCCCCATACAATCTTTTCAAGTAATAACCCAAAAGGTCTGAATGCTGGGTGTAAAATCACCTGTATCGTCTGCATCCATGGGGCCTGTAGGGGTCAAGGCTTGCTCACATGAACAGCAATTGTTATGCTAGTGAAAAGACCTTGATTCAGAATTAAGTAACTTGACACATTTTAGAACATAATCATTTTAATATTATACACTGATTTGTAAATATCTATTACCCAATGTAAGTCTAAGGGAAAAGGTATTTTAAAGGTGTTGTTATCAAATCAAATCAAATCAAATCAAATCAAGTTTTATTTATAAAGCACATTTAAAAGCGATTTTTGGTCGAGCCAAAGTGCTGTACATGTAATAAAAACACATTACTACAATCACAATAAAAGACAATAAATTACAACAGATATATATATTAAAAAAAAGTCGTGCTCCGCTCTAACTAGAAGGCCAGAGAGAAGAAGTGTGTTTTTAGTGTAGATTTAAAAACCCCTAGGGTCTGGGCCGACCTCACATGGAGGGGCAGAGTGTTCCAGAGCCTAGGGCCGGCTGCTGCGAAGGCTCGGTGCCCTCGGGTTTTAAGCCTGGTCTTGGGCACTACCAGCAGCAGCTGGTCAGCAGACCTTAAAGCTCTGGCTGGGGTGTAGCGCTGGAGGAGTTCAGCTATATAGGCCGGAGCCAGCCCATTTAGTGCTTTAAAAACAAATAAGAGGATTTTAAAATCAATTCTGAACTGAACTGGAAGCCAGTGTAGTGAGGCCAGAATAGGGGTGATGTGGTCACGCTTTTTGTGGCCAGTCAGCAAACGTGCAGCTGCGTTTTGGACTAGCTGCAGGCGTTTAATTGAGGCCTGGTCCATACCCACATACAGAGCGTTGCAATAGTCCAGTCTTGAGGTAACAAAGGCGTTAATAACCCTTTCTAAGTCTTTAAAAGATAAATACGACTTGGTTTTGGCCAATAATCTTATTTAAAAAAAGCAGGATCATGTACTTCAGTAATGAAGTTAACATTTGTGTTACCTGGTGCTGTTCCTGGGGGTTTGGTTTTAGGATTTACACACACACAATACAGCTTGAGTCCAGCCTTAGGGCCTGTAATCTTTTACACTTTGGCACATTGGCACCATTAACAGAATGCCAGATAAACGATCAGCTACCTTTGGGTGTACAGACAATTACATTCAATGACTTTGAGACTTGATATACAACATTCAGAATGTTAATATAGCAGCAAACCTCATTCATAAAGATATAATGGGGTAATGGAGCATGACCAGAGAATGAAGTCACTCTCCCTCTGTGTGTTTTGTAATCCGAGCATCTCTGTGTTTACTTAACCTGACTGACCGAGGTGTAACATGTACCCTCTCTCTTCTCCTTTAGGGAACGAGATTATGACGACATCGATGAGGAGGATCCCTTCAACCCGCGGGCCCGGAGGATAGTGGCTCAGAACCCCAACCTCACCAACATGCACAGCTTCTGCAGCTACAGCAGCAGCATGGGCAGTCAGACCAGCATCCACCCCCCCGCCCCCACCGTCTCCAACGCACCCATGTCCGAGAACATGTGAGTGCACGACAAAATGTAAACAGCAAAATGTGTTATCTGAATATCCCCTAATTCCTCTGAGCCGCTTCTTTTATTCTTTAACAGGAATCAAGCGGCTCTGTTCGGGGGGAATCCACGGTACGAGAACGTTCCTCTGATAGGACGAGGCTCTCCACCCCCCTCGGTGCGTTGGGTCCCAGAGGCCAAGTCCTTCCTATGATGTCACTTTCATCTAAGCTAACACACATTTAGCCTTTAAAGCACAGGAAATAGTTTTTTATAAAGTAACTGCTAATTATTTCATTCATATTTTTACCGGGTGACTCGATTCACTCAAATGTTAAGCCATAACCTTTCTTTAATTTAATCAATTTCTTTAAAGATTTCGTAAAGCAGTTTCACGTGATACACTTGTACTCTGTGCCTTCTTCTGCCCTTTGTAACTTACTGAGGCCGTTTTATAACAGTGCCAAAGCAAGGCGAGGAGAAGTAATGTGGTTAATATTTAATCATGAACATCATTTAGCCTCTCTCAGGCCAAATTCCCCAGAGGGAGTGACCCGGACCGTAAATGATAAACTCTATGTTGACACTAAAGATTTTCTTCCTCGGTGAATACATCTGCCCCCCACCCCCCGCCCCACCCCGCTGCTGAGACGCTTGTCTCCTGTTACTGTACATCGCAGGGATAAAAATAGAAACATTCTCGATTAAATATTCATTGGGCACAGCCTCTTGTAGTACAAATGTGTGATGAAATACAGCAGTTAAATGTGTTCTGCAGGTAATCTACTTTAGACCAGTTTTTCCTTTTAATTATTTTTAAAGTGTTATTTAAAGGGGATCTATTATGCTTTTTGGGGTTTGCCCTTTCTTGTAGTGTATTATATAGGTTTTTGTGCACGTAAATGGTCCACAAAGGCTCAAATCCCAAAGTTCCTCCCACCAGAGGAAGGTTTCTCTCCCACACAATCCCCCCCTGCTTGAAACGCCTCAATGGGACTCTTTCCTTTACCTCCGGAACATAGTGACATCACTATGTAACATCTGCGCTTCTATTGGCTAGCGCTCCAACACATTGTACGTGATAGGCTAAGGGGCGGGACATAGAGGGTGAAAAGAGGTGCTGCAGCACAGGCAGTGTGAGAAAAATAAAGCACTTTTTGAACATTAAAGCATGGAATCATGTCACAGTAGAGGCACAAAATACAAATATGAACCTGAAAATGTTCCATAATAGGGCCCCTTTAAAGAGACGATTTGATCATAAGGTCAGGGAATATGAACTGCATGTTATTTATTGCCATGTTTAAAGGTTTCAATTAGAAAACTACTTGTGCAATAACACATATTAAGTTTATAGATGAAAGGAGTCATCTTTCTCATTAACCTTCAGCCTATAGTTCCAACATGAGTTAACCAAACAAATGTGATGTACTTTGCTTTCTGACGTCCTTCCTAATGAATGCCAGCAAACTATGTATAATTCAATTCTCCCTCATGACCTCAAATGTGCAGCATCATGCAGTAGTCTGCGGCTAACAGCTTCTTTTATATATTTTTTGTTTGTGCGTTTGTCATGTGTATGTTTGTTTGTTTGTATCTTTTCATTTCTATATTTCCTCTTTTTTTATCAACTTTTGGAGGTATACTCTCAGCCGTATAGAAACAATGTAAGTCTTTTCAACTCTCTCTGGGTTTACTCCCTCATTTTTCCTTTGTTGCATCTGTTTGGCATGGCTTATTCACTTGTAGCCTAAAGTCTTAATTCAAGAACCTCTCTTTGAATTAGTGATGGTTTGTCTTCCCCTAGCGTTCACAGGGTGGTACTTCAGTTGTGTCCCTGGGTTTCCTCACAGTTAGCCTCCCTGTGCATGCACTTCTATAGCTTGTACTGCCACAAGGTGGTAGTTAGGCACCAGGCGTTGTGTATGGGCTATAGTAATGATTTGATCCTGGTATTGACAGTGATATCAGAGAGTAAACATCAAAATGATTGATGTTTTACAAACTGTACATCATTTTCGTAATAGATTTGAAGAAGATCTATGCCCAGAGTATGTTTTGTTGGTTTGATTTAAAGGAATACTCCGCAGAAAATCCATCTTTTTAGCATTAAATACCCTGTACTTGTAGACTTGAAGGTGGCTCTTTAAAAGTGTTATGGCATGCGTCTTTGTGGAAGATGACATCATGCACTCAGCGTGGATTTACAGCAGTCGTACCACTAAAATCTATATATTCAGTGTGTATATTCACAGATGTATTGGTGTAATGAGAACACAGCTAGTCTGCATTGCTGGATTTCTTTGAATCTTCATTGAATCCAAGTTGACTACAACTACTAAGCTTTCATCTTAAAAGGACCACCTTTCAACCCTACACATGGTGAACAATTGATAATCAATAGAATGATTTTCTGTGGGACTCCTTTAAACCCCCATGGCATTTCCCTTCGTCTTAGCCGGAGATTAACCTCAGCCCATAACTGTGTGAAATCTACCATGAGCTCACTGAATCAGCTTGTAACATCCTCCATGTGTTCACTTTTCCCTCCACAGTACTCCCCGAGTATGCGGGCCACCTATCTGTCCATGACCGAGGAACAGATAAGACACTTTGGGAACGACTTCCAAGCATAGACTCCTTTATCTGACGGAGGAAGGAAACGGCATCACACATGCTCAACAGACAGAAAGTGTGTGTGGCTTCTCCACGCATCACAGGGGACAGTGTGTAACATCTCATTGTTCCAGGACTCCAAGCTTTGAAGTCTCAGGACAATGCAACCATCGCGGTACTCTTCTCTGCGCTCATAAACGATTCATCGCACTTGTCCTCCCCAAGGCATATTTTGGGGAACTTGCTAAATATGTCTGACCCTGCTGCTGGACTTAACCTGCTCTTAATATGTTATGTTCTTCATCCTTCATCATCTATTAGTAAAGCATTGAGGGAACATGTGTCATTATGTACCAGGTAAAACAACTACTAATCATGACTTTGATGAAATGTGGATAGAAGCAATGTTGAGGATTAACTTCTCATTGCAGTAAAGCAACCTGCTCACAATAAAGAAATACAAAAAAAACTATATTTACAGTACAAAACTTAGAATCAGGTCTCCAAAGAGAAAAAAATGTGAACATGACAGCTGATGTATTATTTTCTATGTATCATGCTTGATATTTGTGAAGCACAAACCCAGCACTGGCAGCACACAGCAGGAGGTATGTCGAGATATAATTTATTTACATTTACACACAGATACGTCTGCAATATGAAGCTTTATGTTTTCTATATCTTCTGCAGACGAGACTGCCTTGAAAACACGGCTTCTGTACATACGTTGTACAATAACAGAACGTTTTCTCATATCCAATGTGTTTTGTTTTGATTTTGTTCAAACAACGTGCCAACTTTTATATATTTTTGCTAGCTTCGTGTGGCATTGTCACATAGGATCACTATTTTTTTGTACTTTCTAAAGGGCCATTCATTCATGTTCTCTACATACAGTATGTAATCCAGCTAATACAATCAAGTTGTAGTTTCTGTCAGAACTGTGCTGCTCTAACCATGATAAATAAGAATATTCAGGTAATTCTATTTCATTAATTCCAACCATCCAAACATCACATGTTTGATTTGACTAACCATGATTTTCCGTAGGGATTTAATACATGCAGTTTTGTTTAATATTATTTTGGTAATTGTGATTTCTTCTAGCATGTTACATTGTACAGGCACTGAGAATGGTGCTTAATTTTACGTGTGACCCCCCAACTACGGGGTCTAACTGTGAGTTGAATAAATCAGTTTTGAGTACAACTTATTGTGTCTTTACTTGTGTTCATGTCCTTTGGGTGCACTTTACCACAGGAAAGGCTTTAATCGAAACAAAAGGGCCCCTAAATAATTGTGGCTAAATGAAACTGGGCACAGCAATGTATTTGTGTATACTTCCAGTAGATGTCAGCATAGTCTCGCAAAAAGTGCTGCTTAGTAAAAGCTGAATTAACTCCAGTAGAAAAGGCTGTAGTGTTGAACTGCGATGAAGGCTATACAACAGTATTCTAAGGTTTGGAATGTTAAACAGCTATAACATGTATTTGCAGTGGCGCGAGAACCATTAGGGTATTTTACATAAATTAGTAGTTAGATGACAAATTAGAAGTTAAGTCTTGCATTCAAAATCTTTAAAGTACAAGTAGCCTAATAGCATCACAAAAAGGTATTAGCACTCGATATGCAATATATCTCATTTCAGAAAGAAAAATAACTATTGGTTTATATTTTGTTGTTAATTTACATTCTGGATTATATGTAGGCCTATAATCTAAACCTGTCAAGTAAATAAAGAGTAGTAAAAAACAAAAGTATAAACATGTCAATGAAGATTTAGTGTAGCATATCAATGAAGTCTAAACTAAAAAATTGTAATTATGCAAAGTATTTGAGTACACTATGTGTCTGCTGCTTAGTTAAATTAAACCACTATTCGTTGGTAAAAGAAAAGAAAATAATATTAGAAAATCCAGGTTGTTTATTTTCTAATCGGAAGTGGCGCTAAAGAACAACCGCACTCGCTCAGGCGCACGCGCGCACACACACACTCATAGCGTAGCGCAGGAGCAGCAGCAGGGCAACGGGCAGAGAGGAGGACAGACAGGGACTAGCAGGTGGGCTGCTGCCGGTGTTACCCACCTCTACAGCTCTTCTTCTGCCGCCAGATAAATTATTCCCGTCTTTCGTGTTGCTAACCTGCCGAGAGGAAACACAGAGGACGAGCTGTCGGAGCGAAGTCGCACTTTGAAGGACGTAGACAGAGAAAAAAGAGACACTAGCTGGGACTGATAGTTAAACGAGAGGTTGTAAAGTGAAAACGACGCGACGTGAGCTTGTTGCTCGGTAGTAGCTGCTGTCAGAAAGCATTAGCAGCTACACCGAGTCCATTAGTTGTTGAGTGAGTGTGTCTGCCGAGGGCTGCAGGTGTTTTTCTTTCCAGAGGTGACATGCAGGCAGTGAGGGAAATGGTCCAGTGTCCCGTTTGACAAACGGTCCTTCACTCTGACCGTAAGTGACCATGAAGGACACGGGGGAATCTAAGGAACAACAACTCACGGTGAGTTTAAACTATGTCCTATTAAATGTAACTTCCTAGTAGGCAGGGGTTTTAAATATCCCGAGTTTTAGCTTAACATTTCCATCGTTTAGTCTGTATAACAGTTTCCCCTTTACTCAAACAAGCTGTGTTAGTTGTCATACATTTTAAACCATTACCATGTTACACCAAGAAATCTGCTGCAAACAGTGGCATTCAATAGGATTGTCCTATAGCAACTAATGCAATCCAATTGAATTTTTCTGTGTTAAATTCTACTTATATGATGCCTATAATGTTCAGTTTTTGTTGAAATTGTATGAAATGTTGTTATAGAGGTCATAGTTAAAGTTGGTATTGTATGTTTATTGTATTTCAATAAGAGGTAATGTTTGTTTTACTTACGGAAAACACCTCTTAACATCATGCAGTCAACACCAACACAACTATGATCTCATAAAACATACTATATAATCAAAACTTGTATTAAATGCAAAGGATATGAACAATTCAAGATTAGAAGCATCACAAATGTAGACTGTGACAGGTAGCATGTACAGGTGTACCTTAATAAAGTGTATTTTTCAGTTTTCTTGTGGTATTAACTGCAAGATTTTTCTTTCTAAATTCCCCAAATCATCCATTGTTGGTGTTATATTTTATATTTCCGAGCCGTTCACTACCTGCAGTGTGTTCCGCAGCTCATATCTGAATAATTGAAGTGGCTGTTTCAGTTGCCTGGCCTCTCTCTTGTCCAGCATGTAATACACTTTCTACAGGGTGCTGACAGAGACGGGGCCTTATTATTACCCCTTTGCGTGCCCCATTTTAACCATCTGTCGGGCACATACATGCCAGCCTCTGGGTACATGAGACTCCTGCTTTGATTGTTAATGTATATTTTCCTCCTTTTTCCACCCATTTAAAAGCCTTCATACTCATCTCTGAATGTCTGCATAGGAAGAAACCATGCACGGGGAGAACGTTTAACACCAGTGTGGCCAGGCATTGTGTATTGATCCATACAATTAGTCGTTTTGTATTTGCCAGTGTTCATAATTGAAGGTTTAAACATCCTCTGAAATTACAGGTGTCTTTTAGTGTTGCTTATTGTGAGGAAATGTCATCATTCTAACGTGTTTCTTTTTTTTGATTGACACATTCACATTGCTCACGCTGCGAAGTGATTAGAAGTGGAATGTGAAGTTTAATTGGATAGTCGATCCATTCAGCCATCGGTTTTCTATACCTATTTATCACAATGAAGGTGGCAGTGGCACTTAACTTAAGCTCAGCATGCACTGCTCTAAAGGCAGGGTACACCTTGGACAGCCGATTCAGTTTCCTGCTTACAATGTTTACATGATTTGTGTCTGGGGGACTGGAAAACAACGTGTGAAAATGAGGACAATATTTTAAATTCACAGGAAAAAAATCAACCAACAAAGCTTTGTTTAAGCACAGGAAATGCTAGTGATTTGTCATCTGGTTTAGTGGATGAGAAATTGTGCTTGACATTTTAAAAGATTAGGCGTGCGCGTTTTGTTATGCACTTCGAGGAATCTGCTCAAAATTCATGAGGATATTTAGACTCTTAGTCACCTCCCCTAATGGAATACAGTGGCTATAACTCTACATCTTTTAAATCCTACATCTCAAATCTCAGACATAGATAATCTCAATGTTATCTTCAAGGGTTATTTCCTAAGACTTGACAAAGCTCCTCAAGGCCACAAAAGACCTTATTCACCAGGTTTTTCACAACTTGTAAACTGAGTTCAATGTCAAAAATAAACAGATTTCCGCTTTGAGAAAACATAGGAAACACATACTGTATATGCTGCAACTGGCAGATACACTAAACATTTTCTCCTACACCACATTTTCTTTCAGTTCAGAAGCCATCCAAGAAGCTCTCTGAACACATGTACATATTCAGGTACACCTCTAGCTGAATCAATAGACTCCAGGCGCTCATCCATTGTAAATAAGAACTCATTTATTGAAGAAGCCAGGGTTCTTGTGTGCCGTCAATGTTATTCCTACTAGTCAAGACAGAGTTCAATTGGATGTCTAACCTTTCATTTCAGCAAATTGAATACCTTTGTGTTGATTAAATACAAAGAGGACTAAGTTATCTCTGTGTGCCGCAGGTTGCCTTGAGGATCCGACCTGTGAGCGATGCTGAGCGGGAGGAAGCGGCTACGACCGTGGCTCACAGAGTGGACGAACAGGTGAGAGGGCCTCCTTTCTGTTGCTGTGTGTGCGGCAGTAACCTGTTCACCCCTGTGTGCATACTGTATGTTAGTGAGTGATGGGGTCAGGGCATGTGCTTGCGTGGGAGAGGGTCAGGTCTCTGTTTCAGAACTCTCTTCTTGTCTCTCATGAGGCGGCACAGATAAGATATCTGCTGGGACCTTGGTAAAGCCGAAAGCTCCTTTTCAAAACCAACTCATTTGTAGAGCTCAAATGTCAAATTGAATTTGTAAATGAATGCTGCATGACTCACAACTGTAGCACAGAGTGACCTTTCTAATGATAGAAAGCCTGAAACTCTTTCAAAGCAGACGACTGAGAGCTTCGCCATAGTGAATGCCCCGGGTTTAATTGGACATCAAACCACCGCAGAGCTGTGTTACGCTTCTTACATTACAACTGCAACTAATCATCTCTTTTACCATATTATCTCACCATTTGTATTGCAATGTATGCCCTTTGGGTCTTTAACACACCAACCCTCACACTTTTTTTTAATTTAAGACACTACTGTTTACTGCTTGTTCTTGCAACCACTATCTGCTATCTACTGCAGTCAACACAGCATCGCTAGCTGTTCCACCTATATGTAACACATTATAAGCTGATTGAAGGATTATTAGATTACTAAAACCCTATAAAACTATTAAGCGATTACTAGAAAATAATCAGCAACTATTTATTTGAATCCATAAATAAATTAAGTAATATGTTGAGCAATTTTAAATCAGCAACATAATCAATATATTAATATCTAATGGAAATAATGGACCAGACTTTCTTTCAGCATTCTGTATATTTCAATGGCCTGATATGCTGACATTTTAAAACAGATGATGCTATCAACACCGTGACTGGTTGTTCATTCTATTCCCAACAGCCTTGTTTTGTTTTCCCCTGACACGAGATGAGATGCCTTTCTAATTTATTTGGCAAGTTAACTGCTTTGATCGGAGCCATTTAGCTTATTGTATTTTCCATTAGAGTAAACCATGACTAGAATATTTCTGAATGAACACACACACACACACACACACACACACACACACACACACACACACACACACACACACACACACACACACACACACACACACACACCCCAAACATTTCCTGCTCTCTTCCGTTCGTCAATAAATAAGGTTAAACCATCACTAAACGTCCCTTTTTTCCCCTCCCTTTCTGTAGCGCGACCATGAGTGCACGCTTGTGAGTCTACAATTATTTAAACATACATAAACTATAGTACACGATACTTGCATGACGGGCAGCGAACGGAGTTTCGCCGCCGTCTCCTCAGCAAAGGGGAATGTGGAAAAGACGGAGGCGCATCACTTCCGTGGTTTAAATATGATGTCACGAACCATGCAATTTATTATTTATTTTGCGTTTATTAATTATGGGGGATGATTGTGTTATGAGATAGTTAACCTGTTTACTGTATGTTTGGGTCGGATAGTTGTTCTCATGTTTGAGGGGTTCAAATTATGTTGACAATGTGTTTTTGAATTAATTGTGTAACCTGTTGACGGTAAGCCTGTGGGGAGGGGCTATGGGTTCATAAGGGACGGTGTTGGCCCTGGAAGATTCATTTGGGAGATTGTTGCAGCGAAGGCAACAGCTAGTACGTATTTACTCCATAGATGAGCGATAGACAACCTCATTTGGTAACTTTGATTTTGTTTATTTAAGTTATACTGTTTCAATATTGTCAAACATTATATATTTTTTTGTTGATGTTATAAATAAAGTTTTTGGAGCTTAAATCAACCGACTAAGCCTATGTTTACAAACAGACAAATAGAACCCCGTTTTATATGCTGTACATTACACTAGTAACAATGGACTTTAGATGCATCTATCTATTCTAGTAATGATAACAAGAAACTAACTATACTAACACAAGGTCCTTGGATCATGACAACTGTGCGCAATAATGTAATGATGCTGTTACCATGTGACCATATGAGCAGGACATGCAAGCTCCATAAGGTCCCTGTTTACCAGCAGCTCTCACTTTTCAACCGTCCCTCTTGGAGAACATTTAGCAACAACACCGGTGTGAGTGTGCGATAGTGATGAAGGGAGTGCGAATGATAATGAGCATCGTGACTGGGAACCTGCTGAGGTGTCTCCCTGCTCACTGTAGGCTGATTGAGGCATACAGTACTTATCATAAGGCAGTTGAATCCAGTAAAGTAACAGCATGGCAACAGCTGACATAGCCGCTCAGATGTGCCTTGGTGTAACAGTGCTTGAGAGAAAATGATCATATAAGTGTGTAATTTGTTGGAGCTGTTCATACTGATGGAGGATATTACTAGAGAACACTTCTAGAAACAAATAATCGACAGGGCTGAGACTTGTTTGTATGTCTTCTCAGAAGTAATTCAATTACATCATGTCTTAAGGGCAACATCAGCACTTATGTCTGCGACGACATAATTAAAATTGGCTTGGACACAGGGGATTAGAGTATAGCAGTAAGCAGGTAGATATGGTGCTGACACAGCAACCATAACAAGGCATTGTTATTGTCCCCAGCTCAACCAAACCTCAGCTAGAGAAGAAGTGTTTGTTGCATGTTCCATTTACTTTGCAGTGTATTGATTTGATATCTTGATAGCATAGCTTTTACAGTAATTTGATAGGATAATACTTTATTGTCAGATCAAGTCTGGAATTATAATGTTTTAGATCAAATTACAATCACTGAAGACAATCTTTCCAAAACCTTTAAAGTGCATTTGAGGATAGCTAAATGTGTTTACCTATTACTAGCACTCCTGCCCGAGCCACCACACACGGACACATTAACCGTACCTACAAATAACTTCAATCCCTCCTCAAATACACAACACTGTGTACTGACTGCTTTCTTTGCGAGACAGGCAAACGAGCGATGGCCATATGGCCGGGTTGTAGTGCTCAGACAGATTAGCGGTGTGCCGGTGGCTGGCTTGGCGGACTGGGTAAGAGTACACAGATCTCCTGGCAAAAAACAGACAACTTGAAGCTGACTAAGCCCGTGTAGATGAGCTCATTGGACGGGTTTTAGCTCGGGTTAAGCCTTCTACCACCTGCTCTCTTTCTCCCTCTCTGGCCTTATTCTTTCATCACTGACAGCCTCAGGGGACACTGCCTTTCATGGAGCACCTGTTATGCTCAATGGGCTTTTTTTTGTCCTTGAGTGAGCAGTACACAGGTCTGAGTTATCAGAGATATGAATGAGAGGTAATCAGAGGTTTGAATGAGACATTGAACGGCTCAAGTTAAGCTTTTTTCAGTGCCTTATAGTAACGTGGCTTTTAAGCCATGCTGTATATACACAAGATACAATATCAAAGCATGATTTAAGTGGAATTTAATGAATCAACTTGATTTCAAAAGAAGCAGGGGCAGTGAACTAATCTTTTGGATGAGTGTAATGTAAGAACACCTTTCAGTGGGGGGACAAAGTGTTCTGATCAGCCCAACAACCAGTGTTGTCGTGAACACTATGGACAGTGAAAAGGACAAATGACCACCCATGGAGACCAGATACTGTTTCGTAATAGCCATTACAAGAAGTTACAGTTGGACTGTATTAGGGCTGCACGATATATCGTGTCGTGACGATAATCGCGATATGCGCATGCGCGATATTCACGTTGCGTGAATGTGTTTTACATTTTTTTTTAACATTTTGTTTTAGGACTTGCGATATTAGGTAGGCAAATTAACTCAAACACGTCATGTTACAATTATTTTGCTGCTTGCTACAAAAGGAAAACTTGCGCGGCTCTCATGTCAGGGGTACTTGAGTGAGTGACATGCAGGCTCTGCATGCACAGCAAACCACCAATCACAATCAAATCTCCAAAGCAAACGGACCCGGTGATTAAAGGTAAAAACACTGAATAAAGTAGTTTCATGTGTTTCTCCAGGGCAGTTCGGCGCTGCTAACCGAGCTAGCTCAGCTTCTTGCTCTGATAACTTAAGATCCAGACGTCCGTGACTAAAATCCTTCATCCGGTTAAATATAGTTAAAAAAAATACCAATTGTATAGCATTAAAGTTCAAGAAAGGATGGTTTGCGGGAAAAAAAACGGTCTTTTCTTCAATTCCTGTATTTTTTTCATATCGCAATATATATCGCAGGGGGGGGAAAAAATCGTGATGTCAGTTTTTTCCAATATCGTGCAGCCCTAGACTGTATGTTGTATCGCTTAGTATTTTTTTAATCTAGACCCTATATTTCCATGTTGTTGTGTCTTGTGACAGGCCTATAATAAGGATATATTAGTTTAAAGTGGTCCAGTATTGAGTGAGAGTGCTGCAGACTTACAGCCTGGGGCAATCCTGCATGTCAATGTACATCCACGAAAAGGGCTTTTTTTGCTTATTTTTTTAATAAGCTTAGAGTTATAAAAAAGATAACAAAATATTGGAACCCTCAAATATAGCTTGTGGGCAAACATAGTGCTAACAAAGTGCCATAACCCTATCAGTTATCTTTGTTATGCAATGGACAATGCACACCAATCAAGAAATCATTTTTATTACAACATTTTAATATCAAAAAGCTTGGGTTCTGTTAGAATTGATTATCAGAATAATTGTTGTTTTAAACTTAGACCAAACTCAGAGTAACCCTTGTCTGTTGGACAGTGTTTTTCCGTCCCATGTTGGAGTTAAAGGCCCAGAGAGGTGATATCATCCTCCCTTAAGAGGTTATCAGGAAGCTATGTTTATTCCCTAAGGGATAACGACGATGGTTCAACCTCGTAAAAGAGGCACAGAGGGGACCATATTATATCACCACCGATTAAACCCTTCTTACAAAAGATTGTTGTGGAAGCTATGCGTACTTGTTAAGGATTAAGAGCATACATTAGACGGGAAAACTAGCTATATACTACAGAATGCACTTAAATCCTCAAAGCAACTGTTTAGCTTGAGTACACTTGGAAAAAGATCCCAAGTTCCTTCTTGCAAA